ATAAAAAATACAATTTGTCAAGTGTAATTTCTATTATTGAAAAACAAGTTTTCAAATTAACAAACTCCATTTACAACTTTTGTTTAAAGAATTACAACTTTTATTTAAAGAATCGCAAGAATTGAACAAGAAATTATAACTTGTCAATAAGGGGAAAATGGTTTTTTTTTTTCAATTTAAAACTTATCAACAAAGAGGTTCTTAGGGACTTTAGTGAAATTATAATATTTTAAGGGACCAGATTATCATTTATATAGTTAGAAGGGATTTTATTGCCATTTTTCCTTAATTTATTAAGTTGATGCTTCCATCCAAATTAAAGAGAGAATCCGGTCAATAAAATCTCTATTAAAAGATGTATTTATATGGGAGAATCTCATTTAGGTTTTTAATAGATAATTTAAACACATGAAGGGTCAAAAGGAATCAAAAATTCCTCTACAGGAGCAAGGGCCCTTCATGCAATTAAAATTTTTATTGAAATCTCATAAATGCCCTTGCCTTATTTTAAAAAAAGTTTCATCATCATCAACCACCGAAGCTCCATACTCGACAGGCAAGCCACCACTGCCAACCGCTCGGTCGGAGCTTCGATGGTCAAATATGGTTAAAGGGTATCAAGGGAGGATTTAAACCCTTGACCTTTTGGTGTTGCAAAAAATAGTTCACCACTAAAATACTAAAGCAATCTAATAATATATTACAAAATATAATATAAATGTTGCAATTTTTATTTTCAAGCATTAATATGAGTTACTGTTAATCATAGACATATTGTTCATATCAGAACAATCACTTGTAAATATGTGAACATTACTTGTTCATGAATAAAAAAGTTATCAATTTTTAAAACCCAACTTGTTTAATTTTTTTTAACAACTTGCTCGTTTAATATTGACAAGTTATCAATATTATGCCAAATCATATATGTACATGTTATACATTTATTCTTCAAGCATTTTTATGGGCTATGATTGGTCATAGATATATTATTATTCATATCCGAACAATCACTTGTGAATATGTGAACATGACTTGTTCATATATGAAAAAGTTATCAATTTTTAAAATCCAACTTGTTCAAATTTTTTTAGCAATTTATTTTTTTAAATATTGACAGATTATTAATATTATGCTAAATGAAATATATATATACACATATGTTATAAATTTATTTTTAAAGAATTTTCATGCGCCGTGATTCATCATGGACATACTGTTGTTCATGTTAGAACAATCACTTTTAAATACTTGAATATGACTTATTTATACATAAAAAAGTTGTCAATTTATGAAGAAGTTAGGTTCACATATTTACAAGTAATTATTCAGAAATGAATAATAATATGTTCATGATTAACTATAGCCCATGAAAATATTTAAAAAATAAATTTATAACATATATATACATATATTTTATTTAGCATAATATTGATAACCTGTCCATATTTAAAACTAATTGCTAAAAAAATTGAATAAGTTGAATTTTAAAAATTGACATTTTTTTCTTGCATAAATAAGTCATGTTCACATATTTATAATTGATTGTGCAGATATAAACAATAATATATATGTCCATGATCAATCACATTCCATGAAAATACTTGAAAAATAAATTTATAATATATATATATATATATATATTATTTAGCATAATATTGATAACCTATCACTTTTGAAGGAACAAGTTATTAAAAAATTAAATAAGTTGGGTTTAAAAAATTGACAACTTTTTTTATAATTGAACAAGTCATGTTTACACATTTACAAATGATTATTCAGATATAAATAACAATATGTCTATAATCAACCACAACCTATGAAAATGCTTAAAAAAGAAATTTATAACATGTACATATATAATTTAGCATAATATTGATAACATATTAATATTGATGGAACAAGTTGTTGAAAAAAATTAAAAAAGTTGGGTTTTAAAGATTAACAATTTTTTTATGAATGAATAAGTCATGTTCATACATTTAAAAGTGATTGTTTGGATATGAACAATAATATGTCTATGATCAACTATAGCCCATAAAATGTTTGAAAAATAAATTTATAACATGCATACATACATACATATATACATATATATGATTTAGCATAATATTGATAAACTATCAATATTAAAGAAACAAATTGTTAAAAAATTAAACAAATTGGGTTTAAAAAATTGACAACTATTTTATGTAAGAATATGTTTACATATTTATAAGTGATTGTTTGGATATAAATAATAGCATGTCTATGATTAACAGCAACTCATTTTAATGTTTGAAAACAAAAACTATAACATATATACATATATAGACAATATTTTGTAATATATTATTAGATTGTTTTGGTAGTTCAATAATTAACTATCTTTTACAACACTAAGGGATCAAGGGTTCAAATCCTCCCTTTGCCCTCTTTGACCAGATTTGACTGCAGGCCAGAGCTTTGGCCACCAACGATGGTGGCCTGCCTGCTTGCTATGAAGCTCTGATGGATGGCACGATGGCTCAAGTGGCCAGTGATGGTGAAATTGTTTTTTTTTAAAGCAAGGGTATTTATGACATTTCAATAAAAAATTTAATTGCATGAAGGGCCCTTGGGCTTGTAAAGGAATTTCAAATTCCCTTCATGTAGTTAAATTATTTTTTAAGTCCTTAAATGGGATTCTTTGTACTTATATTTAATGTTCAATCATATTTTAAATGTAAATATTTAACATAAGGATACATACATGCAATAAAAAAGATGTGTGTGTGTGTGTGGGAGGGGGGGAATCATATCCAAGAAACTTTCAAGAAAATTATTCGCAAAAAAAGATTGATATGCAATGAATTATTGTTAAAATAAAAATGTGACTTTTTTTTAAATGGGATCATTGTTAGTCTTTGTCTGTAAATAATATCCTTGAGAGATCCTTGAATGTAAGTGTGTGTGTGTGTGTGTGTGTGTGTGTGTGTGGGTGTGTGTGGGTGTGTAATTATAGTGTTGGGTGGGATATGAGTAGATGTCCATGATGATGATTTAAACTTTCCTAATGTAATTGGAAAAAGAAAAAAGAGAAAGAAACATAACACAATTATTTTTATGGTGGACCATCTTCATAGTCTTCATCCACACAATTCTACTTCTTGTTTTTAATGGCGCTCAAAAGGAAAGGCAATTGATTGAACACCTCAGATTTTAAGTTTTATGTAATTTTTTTACTGTAAAAGAAATTCAAATAAGGAATAACATAATATTTTAATTTTTTTAAAAAACACAAGTAAAAAGTTTGTAAAAAGAATGATTTTCCTAACTTTTATAGGTATATTGCTTGATGATAATAACCTAGTATTTTGGTCTTTAAAAAACTTAAATGTTTTGTAAATAATAACTTTTTAAAATATTTCCCTTTTTGTATAATCAATAAATAAATATATTTTTAATGATATATTTATTGAGAAAATAAAATATTATTCATATTTAAAAAGTAGATTATATTTTTTATTATGCAAGGGAGATTGAGTTTTTTTTTTTTTTTATCAATACCTCAAGAGTCATCCCATTCTTACCAGCGAAGGAGAAGTATTACTGTTATATATAATATCAATAATAAATAAATACATGCAAATTGCCAAATTGGAGAGTATCAGTCAAAGTAGGTGAGCCATTAGCCTGTAAGTAGGTGGCATGTGATTTTTGGCCAAAAATAAACAAGAAGGTTAGGTGGTATGATTTGTCAAAACACTTGTGCAATGAATATTGATGATAATTGATAATTATTGACTTTTTGCCAAAATTATAACAAACTTTATAACTCAAACAAGTGATTATATTGATACTTAAAAATTTCTAGCAACAAGAATTTTACAGCGATAATGAAATTGAAAGCCATCCTTTATGAGATCTATAAGCTAAACTTCTTACCAACTAAACTAGATTAACATGAACTTGCAAAACATCATGTGATATAAGATGGTGATAAAAAAATAGTGTACATTCTTAATTACTTGATGGATTGGTTGGGAAGTAGTCTGAATTTTTTCCCCCTTCATTAGAATGTGGGTGTGTGTGTTTGTGTGTGTAAAGTTATATATGTGTGATATATTCATAGGTCCATAGAAAAAAAAAAAAGATGATAAGTATAATAAAAATATAAATTTATCTCAAAATTATGTATTTACTTATGTATTTATCTCTCTCTCTCAAATTATTAGAGACTCAAAATCCTTTTAACACTAGGTTATATTCTTTTCAATCATACCTATAAATACATAAAAAAAAGTACTCTTTTCATCTTAAATTATAAGATATTTTTTAAAAAAATCTTATATATTAATAAAACTCATTAAATACACTTTACAATTTTACTTTTCAAAACAAAAATATAAGCTTTTAAAAATGTCCTTCATTTAATATTTTATTAATAAAAGAATATTGAAACGAGATAATACATAGGAATGATAATATTAAAAAAATATCATTAATAAAATTTTATTTTTATCAGAATACTTTTTATTTTAGAGACATTAATTTTTTTTTAAAGTGTCGTATAATTTAAAATAAAAAAAATATTTAGTAAGATGAATAGATGGATATAAACTATAAAATTTACAAACAAAAAATAAATACTGTCAAATAAAGATAAGCAAGCTGAGGAAGCGATGTAACTAACACCAGACAAACCTAATTTATTTAATTAGCGAAAAACCCAAGTCGTGGTCGGAATGATTCAACACGTGAACATTTTATTTTCTGAGAAGGTGGCTTCCTTAAATAAATTAATCATAAATTTAATATGTTAAAAATAAAGATGCTCACCAAAACCTGTTCAAACTTCAAACGAGCCTACATTCAAATCATCTAGTTGACTATTCTCTTCTTGTACATATATTATATATACACACACTCACTCACACCATGATCTTCCGCTTTCATTAAAGCTTCAATATTTTTCAGTTTTAGAATACACACACACACTCTTCTCCCCAAAAACGATTCAAACTCAACAAAATCCAACCATGAATCTTTCATCCTCAGCCTTATCATCATCTTCAGTTCTTCCACTGTCAAACAAACGGCTATCATTATCATCAAGGCCAGCGAGGGTTTCTGTGATTTCATGTTCTTCTAATTCAAGTACCACCATGAAAATTGGCGGCAAAACCAGCTGCAACTTCTACAAGCTTCTTTCTCTGAGCTCCGAGGCGGCAACCATGACCGAGATCAAGCAGGCTTACAAGTCCATGGCGCTCCGGTACCACCCCGACGTGTGCCGGGACGCCGCCGCAAAGGAGGAGTGGACGAGGGTGTTCGTTCAGCTCAATGCTGCGTATGAGACGCTGTCGAACCCACAGCTCCGTGAAGAGTATGACTACAAGGTTCTAGGATTGAGGAGGGCGGCGGCGGCGGCGGCGGCGAGTCTTGAGATCAGTGATGAAATCAGGTTGAGAAAGAGTCGGTGTGAGGGACAGAAGAGACGGTCTAACAAAAGTTCCTTGAGAACTCAGAGAATGAAACATCGCAATTGATTCATTTCTTACCACAGATTGTTATTTTTTTTAATCGCAGATAACTTAAATCTTGATAATTACCTGTAATTATGATTCATCTGTTTGATACATAATTCTCAATATATATATATATATATATATTCAAGGGCATGAACTACATCTCAATCCTTACATTCAGTGCTTCACTTTGGAACAAGTCAATCCTAATTTTGTTTAACCTTTGCAATTCATAGTCTCCATAATTCTTTAATTTTATAAATTACAAGCACTGAATTATATTGAGTTAAAGCTCAAGAACTAAGTCAATTCATTTCCTATAATGCGATGATAACTGTCGTTAGGTGGTTGAGATACTCTCGAGAACAAACTAAAAGCACAATACCGCATAGAATCAAATTTAAAAAGAAAAAAAGGCCATATCTAAAGGATAAAGAAAACTGACATAATAGATCAAAATGACCATTATTATACACTGCAGCTTTCTTTTAATACTGCGTTTTTTTATATGTATATGTATATCTTCAATGCTACAACTGAAACAACTTCTTTCCCCTTGTAATTTCTTTAATTGAAGTTGATCACAAGTTAAAGGTAGCTAAGGTGGCCTGAGAATTAGGGCAATTCAATGGTTGGACCAAAGGTAGCAACAGCATCAGCCACTGTAAGAAAAATCTTATCTTCCCCAATTAAGTCTGTCAGTTTTGATGCATGCAGCTTCTCCATCACTACCGTCCCAGGGTTTGCCAACACGAGCTGTGAAAAATATCCACACAGACACGCAGACAATAAGTATTATGAAGACCTTGAAAAGATTCCAACAACCTAACAAAATGATTCCCAATGGCGGGATGCCATAGGATCATGAAAGTCCTTCTTGTAGAGGAAAGATTGCAGATTCGATCCTGCCAGATGTTTGTGTGTATCTATCTGTAGTTGTAGTCGTCCCTAATTTTTTTAAAAAGAAAAAACTAACAAAATCATTGGTCTCAGAGTTCCAAACCCGTTTTGATACAAGTTCATTGGTTTTTCAGTTAAATTGGCTAGTTTAGTCCAATTCTAATAACACTGATCCAAATGTATCTCACAGTAGGTGGTTCATAACAACTTAAAGATATTACTTTTACCAAGCTTGGGTCATAATAGGTGGTTCATAACCATCAGGCATTTGGATCAACTGGTTAAAAAGTTGATCCAGCTTAATTAAAGATCTCGAGTTTGAGTTTTGAAAATGCAGCATCAATTAAATTTTCAATAGGAACTCTAACTCTCGAAAAGGTACTCATAAGATGCTAACTAGATTATTTTGGGTCAAAGACCTTGGATACTGGAGCGAAAGGGGAAAAAATGATATTTGTTGTAGCAGATACAAGAAGAGGAGTTTACCTGGACTTCTCTTTTCTGAAGGCTCTTGTGTAACTCTTCAAAGGCACAGATGCCACTAGTGTCAATGTCAGTCACAGCTGCAACAGTATTGTGATTCCACGAGTTAATTCCTTCAGCAAAACTATACTGAATTAATTGACTTCAAAAGAAAAACTTACGGGACATCTCAAGTATAAGATATTTTGTTCTAGGTAAGTTGTTTTCTTTCTTCTTTTCATCTTCATCGGTCAGCCATCTCAGAATTCTGCAAAGGTTGATTCAACCAGTCATGATTCCTCTATTTATCTGCTATCTTATTTTACACTGTCTTCACATTTCATATTGGAATTGAGAAATTCAAATTAATCACCTCTCCTTGATGTAGTTGGAGTTTGAAAAGTAAATTGCAGAATCAACTCTGATAATCAGTATGCCCGGAACCTGTGTTGCTTTTGGGTATTGTTGAATGTTTCTATAAACACAAGTTTCTGGAACCCTCCCAAGTACTGCTGTGCTTGGTCTTGTTACTTGTAAAAGGATCTTCGCAAAAGATATAACCACCTGCAAAAAATTTAAGAAAATACTGCATAAATATCTCAAACTAAATACAAGAGATTCTCAAGCAAAAACTTGATCTTAAACAAGTACATGTATAGGTTAAGCCAATAATAAATAGACACATGTGATGTTGGGCAAAATTGCAATGCAAAAGCTCAGTTTAAAAAACCCAGTTTAGCAAAGGCAGCCGAGCAAGCTTTCACTAAAAACTGAATTTACAAAACTGGGTTTGGAACTCCAGACTGTTATCCAAACATAGGCATAAGCTAGTGTTTCAAGATTGTCTCCCACTAAAGATGTGGCAAACATATACTTACTGCAATAAGAAGGCCAATCTCAACATTCTTGAAAAGGACACCAAGGAAGGCTCCCATGCAAGCTACAAAGTCAAATTTGTCAACCTTCCAAAGCAGAATAGCAGCTTTTATGTCCACAAGGCCTATTACGGCTGCAATGATAATGGAAGACAGTACAGCGAGTGGGGTGTACTTGAACAATGGTGTAATGAGTTCCAGAGTTAGCAACACAACAATGGACATGACAATATTTGACACAGCAGTATTACAGCCAGCCATGAAGTTCACCGCTGAGCGAGAAAAGGATCCTACATCAACACCAGAAATGCATATTAAGATGATGACTCATGACAAAACAATGTATTGTGTCGTCAGATATTGTTGAGTTCTTCCATACCTGTAGCTACATAACAAGAAGTGAGTGATCCAATAACATTCACTGTTCCTAATGCCACCATTTCTTTGTTGCCATCAAGTGAATAGTCTTTCATAGCAGCAAAAGTTCTCCCAATCGCTATAGCTTCCTAAAGTTGGAAAACCTGGCTTTGAATATCTTGCAGTGTTGTAAAAGCAAATGATTCTGTAGTTCATCAAGTATTATCTTACCGTGAGAGCTATCATACCAGACACTACACCAATCCGAATACCAGGGCTGAGATACTTTCCACTGAAGAATATTTCATTTGCTGATGTTGGGTTTACACCTTTTTTTACATGCCTCACCTGAAATACAGTAGTTTCATTATGATTTGAAGATTATTTAGCTTCAAGTGCATGACCAAATTTGGAGTTAGTACTTACAATTGATACGCCTTTTTTGTCAGCGTGAGTAATGTAGATGAAAAACGTGGACAATACAACAGAGATCAAGGGGGCAGTTGCAGACAGCCAGAAGAATTTATTGTTCTTTCTAGCCTGTCCATCACATAAAAAAACTTGATATATACTTTCAGAGGAAGAATATAGCATTATATAGAGCCATGAATGGAATTATTACCATGTGCTTGCTTCCTAGAAGGAAGATCAAGAATGATATTCCTATGGCTATAGTCTGCCAGTTCCACTGTAAAAGCAGACAATGTTACACAAAACTTGTATGTGTCTGTTGATTTTGCTTTCTTAAAAATCATGTGCCCTTTACAAATGATGGTGGGTTCAATTAATTACCCCATGGTGTGCTGTACTACAAACTGAGTGCAGGACAGAAACAATATCAGTCTTCTTGGTGAAATTGACTATTCCAAGTAGCCCTTTGAGCTGTTGCAGGCTAATAATAATGGAAGCTCCGGCCATGAATCCCACTATGGCAGCATGGGATAGGAAATCAATCAAGAAACCTAGTCTGTAATACAAGATTTCAGAAAGAATGAAAGCACAACCAGAGTTTCTGTTAAGATAATTCTGACTCTGCAAGAAACAAAACACAGTACTGAAAGCTCAAGTTTACTACTGCATTTAGTTCAGATTTTCAAGTGAAGAGGCGTGAGAGAATTATGAATCTTCACTTAACAGTTTGAATTCATGTATGAAAAAGTGGTCAAGATGTATAACCTTATACTTTTAACCACTGAGATTGTTGGACAATTATGCAGTAACATACCTGAAAATCCCTAGGGCCATTTGAGTGATTCCTGCAAAGAAGGTGGCTGTGAGAGCAAGGCGGAGATAATCATGATTCTTATAGTCACTAATCTCATCAGTGAGCATGCTTCCAAGCAAGAGGGACACAACTGCAACGGGTCCTATGGCAATATCCCTCGAGCTTCCCATGAAAGCATACACCAGCGGAGCCACAAAGCTTGAATCTGCACAAATTGATGGAAAATCCCCAAAACCAAATATTATTACTCAACTCAAGAACTAACATTTTCAAGTTTCTCAGAAGGCAAGAAAGCATAAGCAATGAGACCAACACATGACACAGGACAGTGCATGAAAAATGACCAACAAACAATATTAAAGATGAGAACTTGGATAAGATTTTATTAATGTTAACTATTAAGTTCACACAAAAAAAAATCAAAAGAAAAGAAAGAAACCCATAAAAATTTGACTACTCAGGACTGCATTACTGACTTTTCAAGATACATTCATAGACAAGTCATTATTACACCTTTTTAAAAAAAAAAAATGTTTACATGTTTTGTGGCATGAAGGGAGAAAAAGAAAAACCAAACTCACATAGTGCATATTGAGGATCCAGATTTGCAAGCTTTGCATATGCAATATCCTGTGGAGCAGCAAATGAGTTAAGTCCAAAACCAGAAACCAATGTTAAAGGTAATACTTATATGAATAACACCGTTACTAAGATGTAGTCCTTACCTGAGGAATACAGAGAGAAGCAATGGTGAGTCCAGAAACAAGATCACCTTTGAATTTATGAAAACTGTAATCTCTTCCCCATTCAAGGATTGGGAACACAGCTTGAAGTCCAAGAACAAGCTTCCTTGATCTTGGCTGGTCTTTGAAATGGCGTAAACGATGGTCAGAGAAGAAAGTCTCCCTCACTGCATCTTTGATCTCCTTTACAAGCTTCTGCTTTGGAGGAGCTCCCACCTTGTGAATATACAAGGTATCATCTCCATTCATGCCACTTGAAGCATTATTACTTCCCATTTCGTCCATTGCCTTCACTTTCGCATGCTCGTCCCTAAAATGACAACTCATGGATCCCTGAGATGGCTACTATCAGTACTGGCCTGAAAATCAAACAGATATTATGCAGAAAAGTGAATCATGTCAATAGAGCTCTCTTTTATACCCTGTCAACTTCTTTAGAAGCTACAAAGTCTCCACATT